TCTTCTGTGGCATCGCTGAAACTTTACTTTCAAGAACACCAAAAATACAGAGTTTGAGTTAAGAGAGGACATGAAGTCAAGACTAATTCATTCATGAGGTGTTTTGAGTCTGACTTGGCTTTGGTTTTGGTTCACAAAACTAAATCAGAACAATTTGTTAGTGAATCAGACTCAAGTTTTGCAACATGACTTTTGCGTAAACACTTTCGAGTCAAGTGGCGTGTTATCTCTACGCATTTTGAGCTATCCGCGTGTATCCGCGTGTATGTCTACGCCATTAACGTCCGAGTGTCTGTACACGGCACGCCATCAAATGTCCGCGCGAAACGAAGCAAAATGTAGATCTACATCTGGGGAGCGATCTTTTTTTTCGTAGGATGGTAAGGGAACAGTCATAAATTTCCAATTTCCAAGTTGAGGTGAACTACTTTAACCAACTGTGTTCACTGCACTGAAATTGCTTAATAGATCAAATTAACTTCCAATTTCCATTGACACAAAATGAAACCAAACAGGTACACCTAATTCTATAGACCTACATACAGGCGCATCGATATGCTGATGGTATGTACGTATTGACAAAAACAATACGCAACTGTGTTAAAAGCCAGTGAAGTGAAGACAGGACAGCAAACAGGGAATTAACCTACTCCTCGAACCCCATTAATCTAGTCTAATGCGTAGAGGCTTGGGAACTTGCTTAATAAAACACAGAAATACCCAACAGGAGTTCACAGGGATAATGCTTCGCCTAGCACATAGCATTAAGTTCTGTCGTGCTCCATCTGTGAACTAGTAATCTAGTGAGCAAATAAACTGTTAGGGTGTTAGCTTGAGATGCATCTGTGTGCAGAATGGCCTGCTGTGAGGATAAGAAAGATAAGATCATTGCATCTGAATTTGAAACTTGAGGGATCTCTCAACAAAACAAAACAAAAATGATGCTCATTATGTGAATCAGCTGTTGTCATTCAGTCACTGGCATTATCACATTCACATTCCTGATGACTGTTCTTGCTTAGTCATCCTATGAGTGGACAGGAGTGTGTGAGGCTATGTCCACACATTGTTGGTTGTAATATTAGGAGATGCTTCATGAAACAGGGAAAATATGTGTAGGAGTCGGACTATGACTTTTTTGGTGTTTTCCATGTTGTCTGCAAGTATCTGACAACAATCAGTCGCATTCAGGAACATTACACTAATATCTACAAAGAGGTTTAATTTAGGAAAACAGTAATCTGCCAGTACTTCAGCATATTATCCAAATTACTGATTTATTAATGGAAAAATCATACCACAATTGTTTCAACTTTTCAAAAAATTGTCATCATATTACCCGTGATTTTGTTTCAGAACTGTTTGACTTTATTTTTTCTGTGGGACTTTATTTTTTCTGTTCATCCCATAAGTCAACAGTGACAAAAAGAGGTTACCGACATTCTTCAAAATATCTTTGTGTTCAACAAAATAAAGAAAATTATATAGGTTTGAAACTACATGATGACAGAACATGTATTTTGGGGTGAATTACTCTTTAAAGCATAAATGAAAAAATAGCAGCATACACATATACTATACATAATGTTATTCAATTCCAAAAAAATGTTTTATGTAAAACAGAAAAAAAAGAAAAATCGGTTTGATAAATTTGAAAATAAATTTGGATAATCTCCTGAAAATTCCTAAATATGCTCAGTCTGTCTGATATATCGACTATCACTAGTCCAGACAGTTAATGATGCTCTTTTAAAGCTTCTTGTTGAACATTTGTTTTATACTGCTTTTGACATTTTTCCACAAGAATCTGGCCAGCATATGTGCCCATGTTACACAACACAAGAGTGTTGACTTACATTTAATTGACCATGAAGGGAAATATACACATAAAACATTTCTTTAAACACTTTCCAGAAATCATAAAAGGGGGAAGATTATCTATACAAGGCCTAAACTTATCCTACATTTGACTTGTTTCGGTTCAATACGATTTTATGTGAACAATTCTCTGGCACACCACGACGAGAAAACATAAATATTGGTGTTTAAAACAGAGCAGGTCTAAAGCAACCCAAGCTCAACTGGGTTTTCCAAATGAACTGCAGTATATTTAGTGTACAACCCAAACATTTTGACTTGTGTTTAGCCACCACACGTCTCTTTACACCATGAAGGGGGGAGAAATGGCTCCTCAGATGAAGGGTGGATGGGGTACTCCACGGCTTTAGAGATAAACTCAATCATTCTTCTATTCGGATGAGCTTTCTAAGTAAAAGTGAATGCATCTCATGGGTCTTAAAACCAACTCTATTGTCTGCCCCCAAATCCATGGGATTATTTTGGTATAATAAAACACGTGAGGGGGTTTAGGATCAAACTAGAAGGGTGCAATACTCCAAGTGTAAATTTTTGAGGGGTTTATTCTGTAATAAACAGCCAACTTACCTGGATGGAGTCATTTGCCATGGTTGTTGTATCTGGAGTGGCGTTTGTATCAGGACACCCAAATTGTCGTTCCTCCTCTTCCTAGATTTTCAGTGTTAGCCGACAATGTCAGCTCTCAATGCAACAGATTAAGATCCAGCAGCGGTTGAAAGACTTACTAAAACTCTGAGCATGTAATAAATGCTGTTTCATCACTGTCAGACCTGATACAGGTTGTCATCTAAAACCAAAGCTTCAAAAATTCCTACAATTTAAAATAAAACATGATATAAAAGCATTAATTAGGCCTATATAAAAGGCAACGTTCAATCAAACTATAATCTGACATATCGACAGCTTGCCGTTGAGTCGTAGCCTATGATTTTTCCATGATAGCGCCCGAAAATAGTTCTTCTGGTGGAGCTCGTTACAGATGCATACATGTACCCGCACATTGGTCAGGGTAACTGGTCAAAAGAGTTGAGCTTTACTTCTTCATCTGAAAACACCAACGCGTATATTCAGTTCAACAGCTAGCTCATTATCAAACGAGGCCCGAGGAGTTTACATTCACAGCCGGTAAATAATACAACAATCCGTTCCTCTGGAAAAAGATACTGTCGCCGCTCTCCAGTGTGTTCCTCGCGCGCCAGGGATGAGGCTCGTGTACTATCTCCGGGCGCGAGCATTGTGGACGCAGGCAGTGCGCCGGTTGCGCGCTCTTGCGGGTCACGTGATGTCGCATCGCATTGTGTTCACAAGCAAGTGAATTTCGTTTCATCATCACTCCCTCATGGCAAACAACATTTCCAGTTGTTGATTCACACCGCAGATTTTAAAATACAAATTTGTTAACCGCTGTTGAACACACACACACACACACACACACACACACACACACACACACACACAATATATTAAGTTGTATTTGCTGATAATTTACTCACCCCTGTCATCCAAGATGTCCACGTCTTTCTTTCTTCAGTCGAAAAGAAATTAAGTTTTTTTTTTTATGAAAACAGTCCTGGATTCTCCATATGCATGGACTTCATTGGGAACCAAACGGTTCAAGGTCCAAATGAGAGTTTCAGTGCAGCTTCAAAGGGCTTTAAACGACACCAGACGAGGGTCTTATCTAGGACCCTTCAAGTCATGACTCAAAAAAAGATTTGTTTATTTTGATGAACGAGTTCGAACAGGAGAGTCACAAACGCTCATCACAGAACAGATCAAGGCGAGATTTGTGCTTATAAAACTTAAACTTTTTTATTTATATTTAAAATGACCGATCGTTTTGCTAGATAAGACCCTTATTCAATCGTCTGGTGTCGTTTAAAGCCTTTTGAAGCGGCACTGAAACTGTCATTTGGACCTTGAACAGTTTGGTTCCCATTGAAGTCCATTATATGGAGAAAAATCCTGGAATGTTTTCATCAAAAACCTTGATTTCTTTTCGACTGAAGAAAGAAAGACATGGACATCTTGGATTACATGGGGGTGAGTAAATTATCAGCAAAAGGTTTTTTTTTGTTTTTTTTGTTTTTTTTAAGTGAACTAATTCTTTTATATATTGTGTGCGAATGTCATCTTTTTCTCTAAAAGACCAATGAAATATATGAAAGCTTCTTTCCACCACAGAATTTAAAAAAAAATAATCAAAAAGATAATTTTGAAATTTTATCTCATACCTCTGACTTTTTTCCTCGCAGAGTTGATGACGCAATCACATCTTGCTAAAGGGACCAAAAATATTGATGACTCAACCTGCACTACACTACACTGTTATAAAAGTTTAAAAAACGCGAGATTTTTATTATATATATATATATATATATATATATATATATATATATATATATATATATATATATATATATATATATATATATTTATATATGTGTGAAGTGAACTATTTCTTTAAATTACTTAAAACCATTCCTTAAAATAATTTAAAATTATTCCTATCACGATGCATGAGATGTGATATGAGATGAGATGAGATGACCACTTAAGACGTAATGTTTGAGTTTGCACACAGATTAAATAGACTGTAAAATGATTACATTTAATTGTTACCTTGTAGATAAGTACTGGTACAACCCAGATACAACCTGGTACAACTCCCTGTTGCTGGAAGGGTTTCGGAGTCCTAGCAGGTTTAAGAGTAGGAAATACAAATATGGTCATAACGAATAGCTTTACAACGGTCGAGGAAGTACAAATATGGTCATGACGAGTAAACGACAACGGGCGAGGACGGTAACGGAAATCACTCAAACCTCTAACTGCGACAGTTTGCCACAAAAAATTGTATTTTTCTATTTTTTTGTATTTATTAGTTTAGTTACAGGTGTAATACTATGTACAGACTAAAATTAATTAGCAGAATCAACAATTAGCCTTCAAATTTTGTGACATTGCAGGTCTCATGACATCTTTTACTAATTTTGTCACGTGTATATTGACGTGTTTGCAGACGATTATCGATTGTGTTAGCAAGCATGCAGTCGTCAATTACTTTATAAAGTATTTTACACACGTTTCTTGTCGCAGAGCTCATTATTTCACGATTTCAGGTTGGCTGATTAAGCCATGATGGCAGAGCATGTTGAGTTTAAGTCTTCACTATGTGAAGAGAATGAAGCAACCCAGCCTTTGAGAGAATTATCAACATTTACACAGACTGTTGAAGGTAGGCTTTGGAAATGTATATATATATATATTTTGCTAATTATTTATCCAATCCCAGCCCAAACCCAGAGCCACATTGATACGTAAAATACTGCTTTTGTTTACAGAATACACTACAATGGCGCCCTCTTTTGGTGATGAGAGGTCATTTTTGGGTGAAGGTCCTGCCGCGGGAAACACTTCTCCATCCTCTCAGGATAAGAGAATGATTGATGAGAAAATATCTCCCATTGAAAACCAACTTCAGTACTTGCTGAACAAGGCAGATGAGCTTCAAACACAGCTTTTGTTGAGGTGTGGTTATGTCTGGGAAAAGAAGAATTATGCTTTAATTAGCCAACGTATGTTTTGATACTAGAAGAGACGAGGATACATTTTTATTATAATAAGCATAAGCAAATACGTCAACACAGAACAAAAAAGCTGTACTTATGAAAAAATGTCATTGGGTCTCCTTTTTTAACAGCCAAATGTCTTCTGATATTACCCATCTGATAGAAAAATAATCTGCTCTTGTATTTATTGTTGTTATAGCCAAGAGTGCCTTCAGAATTATGAGTTTGTCCATATTGTCCCAACGTTTCTGCAAACTTGTCAGTCATACTTCACTTACTTGGAGTCCACAGCCAGAAACTCCAACCCCTTCCGCCCGCCTCTGTCCACATATATTCGCACACAGGTGAGAGACTGATTTATTCTGCACATCTCACGCTCTGCATTGCGGGAATAACTATCATACTGTGTTTATATCCATCATCACAGCTTTTGCAGTTCTCTCAGCAACTGTGTTCTCGTCTGGAACAGCTGATGTTGCTATACGCCTCCTTCAGTTTCGTCTCACTGGATGAATCTGATCCACTGAGGTACAAACCAATTAAAAATCATAGATAAAGACAGGCAGCAGATTTAGCAATGACGGTGAAGAGTCATTTAGAGGCCTGTTTCTCAGTTAGAGGCCTGTTTTTTTGGTTGTAGTCATAAAGTGTAGTCATGAAATACCCAAGGGTTGTATTATTTCTGTTAGTACTATTCATTTCATTGCAGATTTTCACTAAGTATCTTTTTCTACAGTATCTCACACTTCTATATTGGCCAGTGTCAAATAGACAACATGAAGCTGTCAATCTTCCGATACTGTTGCCCCACCCCCTTTCTTGCCACAGCCAGTACTGGGCTACACAAGCGTATGCGCTGGAATGTGGAGCGAGAGATACAGGGAGGAGAAGGAAAGACGTTTGACAGTGCAGAGTTGTAAGTGAGGTTTAGTCAGAGAGACAGTCATTTAAAGGTCCCATCCCATTTGTTTGTAAAAAGGAGTAAGGGGAATTTCATTGTATTTTAAAGGGATAGTTCACTTTGAAATTAACTTTTGGTATGTTTTAGCTTACCTCAAGGGTATCCAAGATGTAGGTGTCTTTGTTTCCACAGTATTTTCAATTTTGATATTTTCAGGTCAAACCGTTCTTGTCTGTCAGTCATATAATGGAGGTCTATGGTCACCACCTCAAAGATCATGCACAGAGAGGTCCAAATTAAACATGATTTAATGACTCGTAAATGTAAGTACACATTAATGGTACTCGCGCAAACTCTTCTTCACCTCCGAAGAGATCACTTCCGGCGCTTGTGCAGACCGAAGCGCCCGCGCCCTCAGATCACTTGGATGTGACTGTGATTACAAGAGGTAAAATCGATATAAATACTGTTCGTTTTCTCACACAAACCGCTCGTTTCGTGTCTTAGGCCATCAATGTGTACTTACATTTACGAGTCATTAAATCATGTTTAATTTGGACTTCTCTGTGCATGCTCTTTGAGGTGGTGACCATAGACCTCCATTATATGACTGACAGACAAGAACGGTTTGACCTAAAAATATCCAAATTGAAACTACTGCGGAAACAAAGACACCTACATCTTGGATGCCCTTGAGGTAAGCTAAAACATACCAAAAAATAATTTCAAAGTGAACTTATATTTTATAGTAATTTTTATTATTAATATAATATTTTTTTCTAATAATACCTGTTATTAGTTAATAATAATGTCATTTAAACATTCATTTTCAGCCAAAGCAACTTTAGATCATGCACACGGAAACACTTTCAACAAATATCCAGTTTCTTGTTCACTTTGACATGGGATTGAATTATATTCTATGTGTTAAGAGCCTTATTTAGTCTTTTTTTTTTTTTTTACTGGAACAAAATTTCCAGTACAAATCTCAGGTTAATTATAAAAAAAATATGTCATATTTTGGCACTGAATAATGCCACATCTTAATTTTTACAACAACCCCTTACTACCTTCACAGTTACTTTCTGTGCTGCGAGGATGTCATTGAGGCACATGAGGATGAGGATGGAGAGGGAACATGCGAGGGAGAAAATACAGAGAGAGAGAAAAGAGTGGCAAGGATTTGGTCTATCGGCCGGTGGGTCCAGACGTACCCTGACCCCGAGGACATCATTGAATGGTAATGTACTGCCCTCAGTTCAATAGTAAAATATGGAGAAAAGATTATTAAATGCATTATAATTACTTACATTACTATCTAATCATATATCCTTAATATATGATTTAATATAATATAATATTAATATAATATTGCAATTACAGTTTCTGCTTTCCACAATACAAGCAAAAACTGAAGCTAATCCTTGACATTCACTGGTTTGAGATCATATGTGATTTAGGACTAACAGTTAAAGCTAGCTGCTAAATTCATTGTGTGTATGTTTTGTAGGGTGTTGTGTTCAGTCCCTTGTGGTCAGTACAAGCACCTGTTGTGTCTGGGAATTGAAGAGCCTTCATCCTGCACTGCCACAGACTACCTGCTGGGGGTGCTGCTGTCTCCAGAGATAGATGGTACATTTGAAGTTCAAATATGAGGTTGTGTTTGCTCAGGACCTCACCCATTCTGGAAAGAGCGTTTGGTTTATTGAAATCAGATGGGTAACAGAATACAGATAGCAGTTGTAAATCCAAAATCTGTAGATCTTTCAAAATAACCATTTTATAGTTCATGGCTATTGTTAATGTTGTTCTGAAATGTCAATTTGTTTTAAGTTAAATGATGAAAAGCTCATTAAGCGGAGTCAAAGTTCAAGATTAAATGTCAAAACAACTTTATTTTTTTCATGAAAGCATTAAAATACAGTGGCCGTCCAAGTTACAAAGTCCAGAAATAAAACCTGCTGGCAGTCCTCCTGGCCCACTGCCTACTTTTCTCTATAAAACAAAGAAATAAAACAATCCTTTCTTTCAAAATAATAAATTACAAAAATATACACAATAAAAGTGGGGAAATGTACCATTGAGATACAGTTATTGTAAAACATGGTAGAGGGAAGAGCATTATGAATAACATTGTTGTATTCCTTCATTTTTTTATTGTAATTCAGCCCAGTCAGAGATAGAGTGTTGTGTTCAGTGCATTAGTAGTACTGCTGGTTTTTGTCTCCATACAGTAGCTTTCCCTGTACATTTTTTGTAAAGTGATATGTCGAGTTTTATACAACAGTAGCTCAGCCAAAATACAGTGAAAGTCAATCTACCTGGAATCCCTGTGTGTGTTCCCTGATTAAAATGCAAAGTGGTTCCTTTGATATATTAAAAAAGTAACAATTCTGTGTCAAAAACAGTACTATATATAATCTCTAAACTACTAGTTCACAGCACTGGACAAACAGGCAGTACACAGTATAGTATAAATGAAATTTAAACCTCTCTTCATAACACAGTCAACCGACTTTAAACATGATCCTTTTTAAAATAATATACATGTACTTTCACAAACGACAAAACAGATAATATAGGCGAGATGAGCTCCAATAATCAAATTGTGCTTTAACATTCCTTTGGGCAATCAAAATTGCCACGTTAAATCAATTCATTTTATCAGATGTGACAAACAAAACTCCTCAAAAGATACACAAACGACAATAACATCTGACTTATCTAATTACAAGTTAATTTTAGGCCTGCTTATAATGTGACCCATTGGATTCCCTTTGCTTTGGAATTCTTAGTTGTTTTTTTCCCAGACACACATAAGTTACAGAGAAACAAAGAGACAGATCAGTGAAAGACAATTTTCCCATTCATACTAGATGAAACAAAACAATTCGACCCCAAGGAGGGACTGTAAACACTTGGTTGACTATTGTGACAGTGTAATGTCCTCTAAATGTGGGAGTCAATCTGAGGCACAGCAAACCAGAAAAGTTTATTTAAATGAGTGAGGTTATGAGAGCTGCTACTTGTTCCTCGAATAGATACTAATCATTCAAAATTCGGACATGTAAGGGAGGCACAGTGTTCAGAAGGTTCACAGTAAAGATGATTCTTTGATGTAGCTGCACAGTTGTCTAATAATATAGTTGCAAAATGTCGAACACATTCAAATCTAGAATGTCAAAGGTTCTGGTGTCAGCCATTTCTAAAACGTTACAGCAGTGAATATAGTTCCGGAAAAAGAAAAATACAGCAACCAAATCGTTACTTAGTAGGTCACAAATTTTCCATGCTTCACTCTTTATAAGTATTAGACCAAAAATTATCTTCAGGTAGCTGTGCACCCTTTGGAAAATCTGTAATTCCAGTTTTCATTTCCAAATTACCCAGTGAAATTCCTGCAAATCTTGCTAACCAGTGGATTTAATTAATGCACAGGAAATTAGTTCTCGATAACAGCATTTTTTCCTATTAAATTGCACAAAACCTGTATTATTTTGGTCTTTTATAATAAGCATAGAGCAAAAAAAAATTAATTTGATACCTGCATGTTTCAATTCACCTTTGGCTAAGCCACGCCCTATAATGTAGATTGACCAATCACAGCGCAGCCAAGAACGAGCTCCCACAGAGCTCCGACACTTTTTTCGCAGCGCTCCATTGACTTTCAACACAGGGGACTCATACGTTTGGTCTCGGCAGGCCATTACCGTCGTAGTTTTATCCAAAATATGGTTAAACTTTGTGTTAAACAGATACGCGTTTCCCAGAGAGGTTAGAGGGGGTGTCCGGGACACTTTATTTGCTGCTTTATAAAAGTTTGATAACATTTCAGCAGGAAGAGCTGTCACAGCATAAGCCATGCAGAGCGCAGATGAAGTTTGACGGATGTAGCAACAGTAACTAAGGGGGGGCGGGGCTTAGCCAAAGGTGAATTTACCTCATCTTTTTCCACAGATATTTTGCTCAGAAAAGCCAAAGAAAGGAGCCCATTTTGTTTAAACTTGCTCAGTCATTGAGTTGGCATTTTGCCTCCATTGTGGGTACAGGGCTCAATAATGACTAAGAGATAAATGCATGTAGCCCAAGCCAGCCAGACATCTCAATTAAACCTTAAGGAAATGGCTTTTAGGCATGGGGGCAGGTCAGATGTGGCTGAAGTGTTTCATTGCTTTTGAGTGGGTGGAGAGTTGAAATGAAAGCTCACTGCTGTATGATAACTCTCAGGTTGAAGACCAATCAAAGAAAGAGCAAGATGGTGATAGTGGTAGACACGGAAATGGATTACTCTGTCCAATCTGTGACTGCATCCTCCATTAAAAAGCTACAACATGTGCTTCCCTATTGGTGGACCTTCATATTTTTGGGAAGCTTTTTATTGAGCTTCCCTCAGTGATGCGTCTCCAGCTCTACAACGGTCCACTCACCTTGAGCAGAGCTGCCGGGAACCTCAGGTGAGAAGCTGCTCACAGACGTCACGGTGGCTGAAGGGGGTGTCAAAGGTGGCAACAAGTTGGGCCACAGGCTGCTTTCGAGGGGGCTGAGTGTCCCACCTGCTGCTCCGGGAAGCAGAAAAAGGGGCGAGCAACCATCACCTGTAAGCAATAATGTCTGATGGATGAGCTGATGAACGATGTCCACCTTCTTGCCCCAGTCAAACTCCAAAGGTGGAGGTTGCTCTGGAAATCCCAAGGGAGAAGGACTGTCTTGATGTGATGCAGGGTCCGTCCCCTGAAGTTCTCGCTGTGGATCTTGAGTGGTAGACTCTGGGGAAGGTGTGGAGTATTGTGAATAAAGATCATCCGAGTCATTTTTTTCAGTGCATCTCTGCATGTCTTCTCCAGGACACTCATTAAAAGAGCTTTTATCTTCTACTTCAAGCACTCTTTGTCCCCCCTCCTCCTGTTCTTCTGTGTCACTTGCTTCCACAGTTTCATAGATGGTAGAAAGTCCTGATGAAGGAGAGAGGACGACTGGTGTATGCACCTTGTGTTTTTGCTGCTGCTGCTGTTCAAGTTCTTGTTGCCACTGCATGATCTGCTGTCGCTGCTTCAGTTCTTGTTCCTGCTGCTTAAGTTGCAACTCAAGTAAATTTCTCCTCTGTTCCTCCTCCTGCTGCTCTCTTTCATTCCTCACTTGTACTTCCTCTCTCGCTTCTAATCTCTCTTGCTCTCGATTACGTTTCTCCTGTCGTTGCTGGATCTCATGAAGGTGCTGTTGGTGTTGCTCTAGACATCGAAGTTGTGTGTTTGTCACTGCATTTGGTATTCTGGGTGGGAGGTCAGTGGGAAGCCGTGGTGGTTGGGTCACATGGGCAGCACGTGGCCGAAGACGAAGTTTGGACGACATCGTCATTTGGATTGAAAGCAAGTCATTTGGTTGTGGTGGAAAGCTTAAGGTCCTTTCTGTGAAGGAAGCATAGAGTCCAGGGCATGTTAAAAATTGGAGTTAAGCAGAATGCAATAAAACACAAATTTCAAAGACAAAAAAGCATTGTGGGGAAAAATTGAGATTGCAGAATAAGAAACAATTGTTGCAGAAAATTAAACTAAGTGTGCACCTTTTTGTGAAGAGATTTGTGCAATAAAAGTGGCTATACCCTGTATATGCAGTAACCACTAACTAGTGTGAAGAGCAATCAAAGAAAACAAAAGCTGATGTGGTAAACAATCTCCCTTAATGTGACAAGCTGAACACATGCAAAAGTGAGTGCTCACCATGCATATTACAATACAGCAGAAAGCAAACATGTTCTTTTTTTTTTAACTATGAGAAAACATGACCCCACCAATAGATCCATGCATATAAAACAAAACATGCTTTACACAATAAGCCACCTCAGTGTACAGCATATTTCCTTGGCGAGGTGAGCATGCTTAAAAACAGGAAAAATTACAGAAAAGTGCATTGTGCAAAGCAAGTCCAGTTTGGGGATTAAGAAGAACCCAGCATAGGGATTTACTGACGTCCAATTAGTCCAGGTAAATATGGCAAGTCAGGTCCTTTCAAATAGCTTCAGCGGTTAATAATCAGAGTGATTAAAGCGGTTTCACCCAGTTAGTCCCAAAGTGGAAGGTGTGCAAAGTCTACTCCAGAAGCAGCATTATCAAAATACAAAGATGGAGAATTAAAAACAAAAATGAGGTGGACGACTTAAAGCACCTTGATAGAGGGTGAGATCCAGAAGGTTGATGGGGTCAGATGTTGTTTTTCCTCTTCTGGATGGTAGGGAGTTGAGAGGAAGGCGGGAGGAATACAAGCAAAAGGAACATACTGGCATACTGCTGCAAGCATCCTGATTTCTTTATATAATTCACTTACACAAGGTTTTACGTGTGTTTGTGTGTAAATCTGAATGTTCAAGTTCACAATTTAGTATAAGTAACTGAATTATAATGACACAACAAATATGGTAGCAACTGGTTTGAGTGAATAAATCAAATATTACAATATGACCCAAATGTGTTTTGAAGAATGTGTCTCATCCTTATGTACTAAATATTCTATATATACTATAATACATTCTAAATAATATAACAAAGTAATCTTTGCCATCATTTGGCTAATTCAAAAGTTACCAGTTTGAAAGTCCATAGTGATGGATGAACAGTGGGCATTAAAATAAACCAGTGCAAATTACCTTGAAATGCAAACCTCAAGAAACATACAGAGTAAAAAGAAATCATGTTAAACATCTAACCTTTATTTAACGCCAAGACAATAAGTACTCCAAATAAGACATAAAAAAGTAAGGGGTTAGCAAACCCTAAAGTGCAGAAGAGAGAAACGCGAGGACAGGATATGATAATGATGATGGGAAAGGGACGAAAGAGTGGCATTTATAGTTAACAGACATCAGGATACAAAAAGCAATGAATATACATTTGTTCAGTAAAAAAATGGATAAATACACACAAAATATGTTGAAAGTCCATTACATTGTTCATTTATCTTCAATGCTTCTTTTGTCATTTTGAAGACTCCACAAACAAACGATTTCATGCCAGTTCAGACTTCAGACCAACACCCATTATTAGTTTTAAAAAGAATAGTTGAGAAAGTCAACTCAAGTGTAAATGGTAGTAGCTATTGCACATACAGGTTCTAAGCCATATACTTATAAATGTAATTTTAATATCGGTTTCATATTGTGTAAGTGGAACCATTGAATGAGCGTTTTTATTTTTAAACTGAATAAAAAGACATCATCAACTGGGGAACCCCAAGCTAGACAAAAACTTAAGTGCACTCTATACGTTACCTGCCATGGGACTATCAGTCTTTTCGCATATAGTGGAGTAGTAGGGATGCTGAGTGTTAATATCTTGCTCTTCTTCTTCTTGGTGCTTTGGGGATGAAGGGTCAGTCA